CAAACTAGTTAATGCAACCAAGCATAAACAATCCTGGCTATTTCCATTCCTCATTACAAAATAGATTGGTCATATTTTATAAATGGAATCTGATCCCCAGTTAATATCCGCTCCTTCTTCAGTTTGGAAATGAAAAGGGAAAAACTGTTCAGATAACCAAGAAGCATAGGATGTGGTAATCCACATGCTAAAGTCAAGTTTATGATTATAATTAAAATGATATGTGAGATTCATTAGTGACATTTAGAAATCAAATCCCCCAGATTCATACATTTTTCCTAATCAATTAGGCAACAATGCTGCAGCTACCAAATAGAAACCTCATCAGAAAAGGTTGAATTGTATACAGTTTACAGAATGACATTTGTCCAATCTATACAAAATGTGAGTGGTACGTCTGCGTGTGTGTATGTATGAGTGTCTGTGATAGTAAGGTCGGCCTTTAATAAGATACTGAAATTTCATTATAACAAGATTTATTACAATTTTGCCTTCTCCCTTTTCTTTTGTTCTTTAATCTCTGTTTATGTTTTTAAATTTTGCTTCGGCCCCACCCAGTGCGTTAGGTGCTGGAGTCGCCAGCCTGTGCTTCTCAGACAGAAAGTTCAGGCTTTCCAGGCTCAGGCTAAGCCAGGAATAGATCAGATAATGACCTTGGAAAATTGTAAATGCATACAATCTTTACATTCTGCTGTACAGAGCCCAGCGTTTTATTCTAAGACAATAGGGCCCCACTTATCATGCCCAGCCTCATTAATTTGATGTGATAATCCATTTTTCTCTCCAAAGTGATGCATAACATTTATTTATTTGTCCTAATTAAAGTGAATTAAAGCAAATTTGGTTTGAAGTGGCAAGCACAGAGCTTTCCCGGAGATCAGCAAAATCAGGTCTGGAAATCACTTTTCGGAGGATGCGGCAGCTCCACCATTCTTCGTGAGCAGGAATGAACGATTTCCACAGAGGAAAGAACAATGGGTTTCCCCTCAAGGACTCTTTAAGAATTAGAGGACAACTTTGCCCTCTCATTTGCAGTGTTCGATGCTAATGGAAATTACGATGTTTCTATTTTGTCTGGGCTAAGGAATTTTGTCTTTTATAAAATACCAGGCCATTACGGCTGCACATTACCATTAGTCTCAAAACCTTGGAGGGAATCACCAGTGAATGAGTGGATTTTTATAAACTCCTTCTGTTCTCTGTTTGGCTATTCCTTAAAAATTCTGCTTCCTCACCTTGGAGTTTCATACTGTCTTCAGAATCCATTCATCATTCACTTGACAAACGTCCTCTCTTAGGTTAGTTATTTTCCTATTTTTATCTTATTTTCCATGTCAATTCCTCCCTTCTGTAAGCTGTCATTCTGATATGTTTAGTGGGTACCCTTTTGTTTGCACTTTTGCCAAATATTGCTATTCTGCATGTATTTGTTTTTAGATTTTTTTTAAATGGCATTACGATATACATCTAATTTTCTTTCATACTGTTTTCACTCAACACTATGTTTTAGGTACAATTATATTGTATGCAGTCAGTCTGTTATTTCTAATTCTTGCATATTGATGATGGATTCTTTTTCTAGCTATTAGGCATAAAGCATCGAATAAGAAAACTGTTTCCCTGTTTCCACAGAGCTTACATTCTAGTAAAAAAAAAAAATAGACTTTAAACAAATAACTACAAGCAGTATGGTAAAATGTTCATCATTCATTTTTTCAATGAATATCAAATGCCTTCCATATATTAAACATGATGTTTAGCGCTGGGGATAAGATAGAGAATGAGACAGAAGAGATACCAGCCCTCATGAAGCATACATTCCAACGACTAGACAAGTCTTGCAGGTCATGGTAAGAATGTAAGGCAAAAGCAAATGATTAAATGGCTCCTGCAACAGAATGCCATGGTGAGATCTGTATCTTTATTCTGGATGCCGGAGGGATAATGAATTAGAGGGGGACACAGTGGGAGTCAGGAAAGCCAGGCAGGGGCTGTTGCAGTGAGACAGCTGAGAAATGACAGTGGCTTCAGTGGGGATGGTGGCAGTGGAGCAGGAAAGAAAAAGAAGGGTAGTGTAACACGGGTAAAGTCGGAGATAAAACAGACAGAATTTGCTGATGGACTGATTGTGAGGGATGAGGAAGAATCCCTGGGTTTCTAATCTGAACATTGAACTGGAGAGGACTGAGCCTGGGTCACATTTAGGGAGAAAAGCAAACTCCTGTTTGGGTCATGCTGCCTCTGCGGCATCGAAATGGAGGCCTCAAGCAGGCAGTTGAGAAGATAGACCTGATTCTCAGGGAAGAGTTGGAGATTGGAGATGCATATTCAGGACTCATCATACATAGATGGTCTTTAAAATCATGGAGATGAAAAAGGATGCAGACAGAGGCAAAAGAGGGGCACACGAGAGACCCCAAAGGAATCCCAACATTCAGAAGCTGATGGAGAAGGGAGTCAGCGGGAAATGATCCTGGAGAGCTCGAGAGGTAGGCTGGGTGAGGCCTCCACGCTTCCCTAAGGAATACCTTTAGCCAAAGCTTTTATTGTGGAGAGATGGGAAATGACGCTACGTAGAATGGTATAAAGAGCAAGTGGAAGGACGTAGAGATGGTGTGTGCAGACAAATCCTCAGTGAACATGAGGAAGAAGGCAGGGGAGAGAAGGAACTAAAAGCAGGGTGAATGAATACTGGAAGGGAATGTTTTTGTTTGCTTTGGTTTTTTAAAAAGTACTTTTTTAAGTGGGTGAGAGACTTGAGCATGGTTAAAGTGTGATACACAGGTGCATGGGGATAGTGGATGGCAGCAAGTCCCTGAGAGGCAGGAGATGAACTCCACCCCCAGGGGCAGGTCTGGCTCCTGGTGAGAGGAGGGGCAGCTGCTGTGACAGCACCACTCCACACCTTTCTGTGAATGTCATTTCACTGATAAAATGAGATAAGAGGAGGAGCTGGGGTGAGAGCTCTGCTCAAATGGGTTCACAGTGAGCAGAAGGAGAGGGGCCTAACTTGTTGAAAAGCAATTTGTTCAAGGTCATTCTGAAAGAAACCAGACCTCCAAACAAGAAGACATCTATAGAACATGGCAGAGAATCTGATTTTTTTATTATCACAGGGCAAATTTGGGTTGGAAGAAGGTTGTCTGGTGGAAGAAAATTACTCTTTTCTCTCTGGGAAAAGACTGTAATAGGCTTTGACAGGAACCCAGATAAGTCTTCCTCTGTGTTTATCAAAGAGCTGAAAACTCCCTCCTTTTTCAGCTTCAGGAGGCAGATAGAGCAGAAGACAGAGTCCCCAGGATAAATAAAATTCAGGAAAATCCAAATAAGTAGGGGGAATGATAAACCACATGGGCAGCGATTGGAAGACACATTAACGCCTTTCAGCATTTAGTTGGGCGCAGACCAGGGTGAATCTCCCTCTGGGACCTTACCTAGGAATCCAAGAGGACTTGTAATGAATTTCCTGCTCAGGCCTGGGCAAAGACCACAGGCAAATTAAACAGCATTAAGTGATAACTAGGAGAGGTGCAAATGTATCTCAACAGTTTGTTTCTTTCAGTCTTAGACTACAGAGTTTGGCTCAGTGGATAGAGCGTCAGTCTGTGGATTGAGGTTCCCAGGTTCGATTCTGGTCAAGGGTATGTACATTGGTTGTGGGCACATCCCCAGGAGGGGGTGTGCAGGAGGCAGCTGGTCAATGTTTCTCTCTCATCGATGTTTCTAGCTCTCTATCCCTCTCCCTTCCTTTCTGTAGAAAATCAATAAAAGTAATACATTAAAAATAAAAGAGTACAGATGTTTAATTTTCCTAGTCATAGTATTCATAGTCTTTTGGCACTTTCTGAGTTGACTTCTTATACATAGTAATACATTTACGGAATCACATCCTACGTTTTATTTTTCAGATCTCTATGTCATTGAGGAGTGTAGGTAGCTGACTTGGGGGCAGCTACATGGTCAACAGAATACTCAGAGGAAATAAGCCATCTCCACACGGTTAGACTCTCAAATCCAAACTACAAAATATATCACAGCTAGTAATATATTGGTATGACTTTGGGCAAGTTACTAAACTCCCCAAGTTATTGCACATACCAGAGTGCCCACAGGGACTCGGGAATCTTTAAGGTTCGTCCTAGTTTTCAAATCCCTCGATCTGATGTGTTAATTAGGATTAGCTTGATATCTGTGACAAAAGCAGACTTCAAACTGATTTAAGTAAAAAGGGAGGTTTATTGGTTCATATAAATGCAAAGCTATTGGCAGTCTAGATAGTCCCTTTTGAGAAGTGGAAACAGGGACACCTGAGTGAGCATGTGGCTTGGCAAGCTATTGGAACCTTTGTGTGCAAAAAAAAAATTAAGAGAAATCTAACATGTCCTTCCTCTAGGTAGACACAGCCTTGCTCCCAGATGCACAAAATGGATTTCAGCCCCCATTTTTCCCTTTGTCAGAGAACCCTCTTCAATTCACAAATTGCTCAACTCTCTATAGTGACCCTAAATCCAAGTAGTCTAGCATCAAGCCCAGCTGGATCTAGGGACTCAAACACGGTCAGTGAGACAGGATAATAAGAAGCTAGGGACATTCCTTAGCAAACAGAATGGGGAAACTGAGACAGCTAGATGAACAAACTGGCCCAGCAATTTACACCAGATACAGACAGTCACCTCCATAGAGGTAACATCTAGGCCTCAGTTGTATTTCCGTTCCAGACCCTGAAAAGCAGCAAAACCAGGTGGGCCCCTGTCCTGGTGCTGACCAATCAGTAGAGACCATGACCCTGAAAACTGATGAATATTCCAATGAAAATCTCCCCTGAGGCTTCCCTTAACATTCCTGCCTTCAGGAGACAGATAAAAAAAAAACAAAACAAAAAAAACACTCAAAACAAAGGACCACCACCTTCTCCCACCTGGGACCTTTCCCTTCCCTCTCCTCTTCCCCCACAGGTATGAATCTCCAAGGGACCCTGTTGAGACTTGCAACCAGGGGAGCAATGGGCAGTGACAGCTCCTCCCAGACTAATGCCTTGAATCTGTCTCCAAAGCCCCTTTTTCTCTGACTTCCTAGTGAGCCAGAGCAGCCCAGCCTAGGCTCTCCTGTTGCTTCTCCTATCCTAGGCACTTCCTTGTTTCACTGACCCCAGTTTTAATAAATGTACCCTCAAAGTCACCTGGACTCATATTGTGAAATCTTTCCTGCACAAAGTCAAAAACCCACACTCTACCATTAGGATGGAGGAGGACCAGCTCAGAGCAGGTCCCCTTTCAGGTAACATCACCAGAACTTACTGTCACTCTTTCCTCCTAGCTCTGCTTGCCTTTTATTAAATCCATTTGTGCATGTTTCAGAGAGGGAGGGAGGGAGGGAGGGAGGGAGGGAGAGAGATAGAGAGAGAGAGAGAGAGAGAGAGAGAGAGAGAGAGAGAGAGAGAGAGAGAGAGAGACCACACTGAGTCACATGCTGGCCTCTTGGATCTAACCTGGGCAGTTAGTCATGAGCAGAGCAAGGACGATGGACCAGTTACACAGGGTCACCAGAGTGGAAAGCCCCAGGTGCCTAGCAAAGGACAATCAATTGTAGGATGAGACCCCTGTGTGACTTTTCCTCCCCTAGCATATTGCTGTTCATGAGGTTTGGACCCCCTGACCTTTCCTTCCTAGAAAGAATATCTAGACCACAAATTGTATTTCAGCTCCAGGCCCAGAGAAGCAACAAAACCAGCTCCTGCTGAATCAGAACCAGCTGCATAAAATAATGACCCCCTGACCTGGTGTCATCCTGGAAAGCTACCGAATATTCTATTGAGATCTTCCCCTGGGACCGCCCTTAAAATCTTCACCCTTAAAACCCTAAGGATGGAGGACCCAGTGAGCTCTCCCTCCCGGCCTTTCTCTTCCTGTCCCTTCTCCCTCCCCACCCCAGGCACGTTACTTTTACTAGTAGCTTCCTCACTCCCAAGCTCCAAGAGCCCTTCATTCACCTCTGTAACTCATTTCCTAAGCCCATTCTCCTAGAAATTACCTTTTCTACCCCTGTAAATTATCTCTTACAGTTTGGATCTGGACTCTGAATTCTTTCCTAGCCAGAACTCAAGTACCGAGGTCAGACACCTGGTGCCATTCCCACCATCCAACATACTAATTGAGAGAGCAGAGGAACTCAGAATTCCCAGAGGAAGAGAAATATTCAACTGATCTGAGAAAAATAATCCTTGTCCTTTTATATGATTCTGCAGTTTTCAATCAGTTCGCGAAGTAGTCTTAAAAGAACTCAGTACCACCCCCCAAGTTTTTACATCAGCAAAACAATGTGAAATGATGCAGCCAGTGCCAACAATCCTGCGGTGAGACCAGTGCGTCTGCTTGAAAAAGCTATTGAGCAATTTTTATCAATAGGAATAAAAACTGCTTGATCATGGAGCCCTTAGTAATATCCCTGAGAATGTATCCTAGAGAACTAATTCAAATTGTAAAATTCATGTGTGTGAAAATGTTTATTCAGCATTATCTATAATAGCAAGTCGAAAATAGCCTCGATGTCAATTTCAGAGGAACAAATAAATTATAACAACTGAATGAAATATTGAGTAGCCATTAAAATGACAGTTATAAAGTGTATATAGCAAGTGTGTTAAGAGAAATAAGGTATGCAGAAAATTATATAGCCCCTTAAGTGACAACAGAAAAATATGTAAACATGAAGCCTAGAAAGGAACACCTAAAAATCTGGAAATCTTATTTGTGTTTACAGTGGAGGGGTAATGGGAAATTGTTTTGTCTTTAAATTTATTGCAATGCTGGCAAAATACCCTTTCATAGTAAATAAAATTTACTGAGAAAATTCTATGATTTAAGAATTATTATCTCAAGTTCCTCTTAGGGGGCTACGTGAGAACTAAATGGAATATTATGGATAAGATGTTTAAGGAGTGCCTGCCACATACTGAGGGTGAAATAAACGCTGGCCATCCACAGGAAGGTAATACATTTGAAACACTGTGTGCACATTATGTGGTATTAGAAGATGATAGAAAGTGGCTTTTTCACTTTAGCCTTCTCTTCTAACACTAAGAGAGTCATTTCCCCTTACCATTTCACATCACCCTAATCTACCAACCCATGCTCAAGTGCCTTCTATGTATTTCCTCAGAGGTTCATGGTCACGGAGACTCCGAACATAGATGTCTGCCTGTATTAATATTATTGCTCAGCAAAGGGGAGGAAATGGGGAAAGGGCAGTCAAAGGGGAGGAGGAAAGAGAAATTGACTTTAAAAAGCTAATGTTTTAACACATACATAATATGTAAGCATATTTCACTCTAAGTATGACAACTAACATGTCAGCTAAGGCTAAAGTCCTGTTTTACAGTTATCTTAGCTCGGGCTGCCATGATGAAATTCCACAGACTGGATTTTAGAAAGACACATATTTTCTGTTTTGGAGGCTGAAAGTCCAAGATCAAGATTCTGACAGGGTTTGATTCTGGGGGAGAGTTCTCTTTCTGGCTTGCAGAAGGCTGCCTTCTCACTGTGTCATCACAGGCGTTCTCTTCCTACAAGGGCACTAATCCTATCAGGTCAGGGCCCCAGCTGTATAATTTCATTTAATGTTAATTACTCCCTTACTCCAAATACGCCCACACTGAGTGTTAGAACCCCGACATATATATTTTGGACAACACATTCAGTCCATAACAAGATCCCCCTTCTCTCCTTCCCCCTTAGATATTTCTTTCCCAATTATGACCTCCATTATCACTTCTCTGGTAGAGAAATGTATCAAGACTTAAAAAAAACCAAAAACAAAAAACTATAGATTTTATGAGGTTATTTTATACTTTGCAGTTTTTTAAATCTTCCTATATGTACAGTTCTTCAATTTGCTTTTTAAATAAAATATGTCTTGGCAAATCTTGAGAATAGCATATAGGTATCTACTTCATTATTTTTTAGCTGCTGCATAATATTCTAAAATATGCTTATCAGATCCTATTAACTATTTTAGATAATTAATGGCATATTGATAAGTGTTTAAGTTATTTATAATATTTTTTCCTAATTAAAGACACTCATGCTATGAAAATCTTTATACAAATGTGTCTCTTTGTGTATAAAGGTGATATTTCTCTCATGTAGATATCCAGAAGATGAATTGCTGGATCATCCAATATGCACATTATCAATTTTAATAGATACTGTCAAATTGTCCTCCAAAGTGTCTATCTCAATTTATATTCTCATTTACTTACAAGGCTGCTTGAACATCCTTGACAACTTTTGAGATTATCAAACTTTAACATTCTTTGCCAATCTGACGAGTATAATGTTATCTTCCTATTTAAATTTAGATTTCCTTGATTAATGTTGAGCATCTTCTGGGGTATGTATTGGCCAATTGCATTGCCTTCTAAGAATTTCCTTTTTATGTGTTTTGCCCATTTTTTTCTTATCAAATTGTTTATCATTGTCTTCTTCAATTTGTATACTCCTTCATATATTCTATATACTAATTCTTTTTTTGAATCCTCACTGGAGGATATTTTTCCATTGATTTTTACAGAGAGTGGAAGACAGAGAGAAATAGCAATGTGAGAGAAAGACATTGATTGGTTGTTTCCTGCACATGCCCAGATCAGGGCCCCAGCTGCCCTTGACTGGAATCAAACCTGAGATACTTTAGTCCACAAGCCCATGCTTTATCCACTGGCCAGGTCCTATATGCTAATTCTTTATCCATTAGGTAGTTCGCAAATATTTCTTCCCAATCTGCCATCTTCCTTTTTATTTTTTTAATGGTAGCTTTGCCTTACAAAATTTTTTTATTTTCAGAATAGTAAAATTTCTGATTTTGTTCTTTAGAGGGTTTTGCTTTTAGTGTCACAAGAAGGCCTTTTCTGTTCCAAGATCATAATTGTATTCTCTTGCATACTCATTTAACTCTCTTCTATTGTTTTTATTTTACTTTAGATTTTTTAGTCCATCTGAAATTTACTTTCCAGAGTGGTGTGAGTTTGGAACTAACTTTACTATTTTCCAAACTATTAGCTAGTTGCTCCAGTGCAAGGAGTTCACATTTTTGCGAGAAGCTCAAGCTGCAAGATGAGAAAACCCTTTTGTATCTCTCTGTTTCTGGATCCAGCTCAAGAGGAAAATTAGCTGGTGTACACAGCTGAGCCCAAGCTGCCAGATGCACAGGATACACACTTGAAAGCACAGAAGTCAGGGCGCATTCATTCCTCATGCACCAGACACAGTTATAAGTGATATTTTAGTAAAGCTAACCAGTAAACCTCCACAGTGAGCTTACCTCAATCTTGATGCCTCTCAAAAGCAAATTTTCTATAAATCAATTACCAACCCCTGCATTTCTTTTATATTTAAGATTTTCTTCTAATTTGGTTTTTGAATGAGCATGCATTTAAACTTAATTTGCTGAAATTGCATTGGGGGAAGACTGGCCATGACATGATACACATTTTGAACCAGATTCTATTTTGCTAAGTTAGCAGCAGCATTAAACACCACATGCCTCTAGGATGTTTTGGACTTCCATGTTTTTCTCAAAAGCACTGAAACAAGGATCCAAATGCATATGGTAAGCATGCCTCCTTTGCCTGACTGTGCAATGCCATTGACAGCTGGGTGCTGAGGCCTGGGTTCGAATTCTGCCTCAGCCATGTCACAACTACCAGAATTTGGCCACATTTTTTGAACATCTACCTCATTTGCCTTGTCTGCTGAATGAGTATAATCAAAATACTTATATATCAGAATCACTAAAAGACTACATGGGCTAATACCTCTTAGGAAAGCTCTTAGAAAAGTCTCCAGCACCACCAGCATTCAGTGAGAGGGAAGCTGTCAGCCCCGCAGGGTCCTGCTTTCATCTTGTCCCACTTTGTCCTTTTAAAAACTTCGCCTGTTTTCAGACTCACTTCTCTCTACTGTTATCACTACCTTCTTTCTTATGTCGTTTCAAAAATAGTCCTTGCCCCAAATTCATTGTCAAAGAGTGTTGGAAGCCGTCTCTGCGGACAGCTGGATACCAGAGCACCGGGTCTCCACGCCCCAGCTGGACTCCAAGTCTCAGCCGTGGACCCTTCCCAGTCACCAGGGAAGGCCAGCCCCAGGCCCGCACCATTCCTGCCCTCCCAGGATGCAATGAGAGTGCGCCCGCCTCCTTTATGGACTGGGGTCCGTGTTGTGAGAGGCATTTTACCAAGAGATTCCAGGCAAAGAGCTAAGGCTCCGGCCGGTCGGCTCACCTAGGTCCCCTGGGTCCCCCTGCGTGGCCCTTGTGCCAACAGGCTGCCTCACCATGCACCAGGCTGTCTCGCCAGAGGCCCCCGTTCTACAGAGCCAAGGCCTTAGTCCTCATTTGGAGGCTTCCCTGTGATCCCCGCCCTGGAGATGGTCAGTTTTGGGAACAGTTCAAATGTTTTTGGCTCCACCTGGTTATAGTCCTTGTCACCCAAGAATGGCCATGAAGAGCCCAGGTCCTTGCTGTGCTGTATTAGGGGAGAACCCGAGGTGAGGAGATTAGTCAGTGAAGATGTTGAGAATTGGGGGAAGGAGGAAGAGAGGGGGGGTATTGCTCATTCCAGAGAAGTTCCAAAGGTCAAGGACAGTAGAGGGAACTTTGGAAGGACCCAAAGGGTGGGAGACCCAATTGAGGGAGCCCAGAGCTGAGTGAGCAGCAAAACGCAGGGAAGAACTGCTGGAAGGAGGGCCATGTGTTCCTGATAAGCGAGAGAAACCAGGATGACCAGCATAGGGGCCAGTGCTCCTCATCTAGAAGGCGGTCCCTCTGCTGCTGAGAAAGGCTAGACCAGTGGTCAGCAAACTCAGCAAACTCATTAGTCAACAGAGCCAAATATCAACAGTACAAGGATTGAAATTTCTTTTGAGAGCCAAATTTTTTAAACTTAAATTTCTTATAAGGCCACTTCTTCAAAATAGACTCACCCAGGCTGTGGCATTTTGTGGAAGAGCCACACTCAAGGGGACAAAGAGCTGCATGTGGCTCTCGAGCCGCAATTTGCCAACCATGGGGCTAGACAGTCCACAATGCTAGCAGGTAAGAAATCCTAAAACAGGCTCCTAATCACTGCACAGATATTTAATTTCTAAAATAAAAATGCAATGGTTATATATGTGTTATATAAATTTTATATGTTATATTCTATACAGTAGGTCCTCGGTTTACCTCGGAGATCCGTTCCTACAGTGCCATGTAACGTGATCCACGGTAACTCAGAACCCACCTACATAAGCACCTATATCACTCACATGGAGCACACACACAGCAGTAATGAAACAGTAAAAAAAATTTAAAAGAAGGATAACAGTTTCTGACCTTTACTTGTTGTAAATAAATAATAAAAAACATTAAACACATATGTACATACATCAAAATGCCAGAACTTTTTCTTCTTATAAATAAATGGGAGATGGCAATGTAACTGCGAAATGACATACGTCAAGTCCGATGTAACCCGAGGACTGCCTGTGTACCTTATGTACATATATATATTATATATGATACAATATATTGTGTTTATGTGGGGTGTATGTGTATGAACATTATTTGAAGAAAAGATTGAAGAAGATCATTCAGGAAAGTTCTTGTGAGACCCCAACCAAAGGGCCCAGCTGGCCCTGCTCTAGGTGAGCCTGCCTAGAGAGCAGAGGGCATGTGATTTCTCAGGATTCATTACTCCTGGGAGAGGCTGTTAGGCACTGAGTGGTTGTGTCACCTGAAGTTCATATGTTGAAGCCCTAACTCCAGTGGGGCTGTTATTTGGAATAGGAAGTAACTAAGGTTAAAAGAGGTCATAACAGTGGGGCCCTAATCCAGTAGGATTAGTCTCCTCACAAGATAAGGCACAGAGTGTTCTCTCTCTCTCTCTCTCTCTCTCTCTCTCTCTCTCTCTCTCTCTCTCTCTCTCTCTCTCTCTCTCTCTCTCTCTCTCCTGTCTACAAGCCAGGAAGAGAGTGCACACCAGAAACAGAAACAATCAGAAGCTTGATGGTAAATGTCTAGCCTCCAGACGGTGAGAAATAAATGTCTGTAGTTTCAGACCCTGAGTCTATGGTGTCTCATTATGGCAGCCTGAACCCATACAGGACCCACATGGAGGTGGTAATGTGAGGCCAACTCCTTTTCCTCTTGGTCTTTGAAGTGATCATCAGAGGTAACCAGCAAGTAACAGGAAAAGCCCTCATCATCCACACCACTCCTTCAGAACCTCCTGGGTCAGCATACCTAATTCCTATTCTCACCACTACACAGCAGGTACTACACAAAAGCAAATTGTACTCAAAACAAAGCACACCACATGGTGCCTGCTGCTACAGAAATAGAAATGGTTAGAGAGAACTCTGTTCTTGAGAGCATTTCTTGACAGAGAACTACTCACTTCGCTGTAAACATTACCAGGTGTATAAAACATGCACCCACTGGCCCTCACGTGGCTGACATCAAATGTGGTTATTTATTCATTCACTCAACAAATATTCGTTGTATTTCTAGGATGTGCCCAGCACTATGCTAAGTGCTGGGGATACAGTGGAGAGTGAAACCAGTTCTTGCCATGATGAAGCTTACCACTGAGTGGCAAGAGACAGACCTAAACAAATAAACAAGTAAATACAGTCGTCCCTCATCCCTCAGTATCCACAGGGGATTGGCTCCAGGAACCCCTGCTGCTGCCAAAATCTGCAGATGCTCCAGTCCCTTAGTTGACCCTCTATATACCTACAGATCCACATTCATGGATAGGGAGAACCAACTTTATATATTCAGGGTCACATGGCACCAAGGGCTGTGAGGAAAAATGAAGTAGGGGAAGGGAGAAGGGAAAATACAATGGGTTGAGAAGTTTCACGTATGGTGATCAGGGAATCCTGACTTTTGAAAAGAGACCTGAAGGAGGTGAGGGAGTAGCTCTATGGACCGCTGAGGACATGGGGTTCAGGAAGAGGAGAAACATGAGCTTGAGGTGGATGTGCACGGTGAGACTGGAGTGCACTGTGTGGCCAGGAAGACAGGAGAGGAGGGGAGAGAACACCACGTGATGTGGGCTTTGGCTTGCACTCTGAGGGAGTTGGGAAAGAAACCATCGGATGGTTTTGAGCAGAGAAGTGCCACGATTTTATTGAAAAAGTTAAAGATCTTGCCGAAACTGGTTTGGCTCAGTGGATAGAGCATCGGCCTGCGGACTGGGAGGTCCCGGGTTTGATTCCGGTCAAGGGCATTCCTGGTGGGGAGCGTGCAGGAGGCAGCTGATCGATGTTTCTCTCTCATTGATGTTTCTAGCTCTCTATCCCTCTCTCTTCCTCTCTGTGAAAAATCAATAAAATATATATTTTTTTTAAAAAAGAATAAGTTAAAGATCATTCTGGTTGCTACTTTGGGACTATATTGTATGATGTAGAATACAATTAAGATTAAATGAGGTAAGACCAGTTACAACAAAATTACTGGGAGAATCCAGATGAAAATAATGGTTGGTGGTTTGGACCAATGTGATAGCGGTGGAAATGAGAAGTAGTCAGATTCTGGATGTATTTTGAAGGTGGGCCAATAGGACTTGCTGATGAATTGGCTGTGACAAATGGTAAAACAACTGGAGTCAATAATGACTTTTTGTTCGGCCAAAGCAGCATGACATTGTTATGTGATCAAAAGACACAATGTTGACAAGTAAAATGCCACTGCATCTGAGTCACCATAGCCCAATAACACGTTGACAGAACATGAGAGTCTAAGGCTCATTCTCACTACACCATGAGTGAATCCATACTGCCATACAATATTCTTATTACAGTTTTTATGGCATATTTTATAAGAAAACTAGCTAAACCAGGAAGGAAGGAAGGAAGGAAGGAAGGAAGGAAGGAAGGAAGGAAGGAAGGAAGGAAGGAAGGAAGGAAGGAAGACTAAGAACTTAAGCAAAGCCAAAACCGGTTTGACTCAGTGGGCTGTGGACTGAAAGGTCCCAGGTTCAATTCCACTCAAGGGCATGTACATTGGTTGCGGGCACATCCCCAGTAGGGGGTGTGCAGGAGGCAGCTGATTGATGTTTCTCTCTCATTAATGTTTCTAGCTCTCTATCCCTCTTCCTTCCTCTCTGTAAAAAATCAATAAAATATATATTTTTTTAAAAAAGAAGAAAAAATAAATTAAAAGGGAAAAATCCCTAAGACAAGGGATCTAGCAAAACAATGTGAACGCTGGGTTGCAGTAAGTAAAAAAATCCATACTTGAGATCTTGTTCAGAGGGTAGAGAAGGATACAATGATGGTGACAAGGAGGTGATGGTTAGGGACTTTCAAAAGTTGCTTAAACAAGAAAAGATTTTGAAGAAAGGAAATTACTCAACTGCTTTGAGGTATGGAAAGAAAAGCAGAGAACTATGAGGAAATCAATGTGTGTTTTTATGAGTCCTAATAATATAGTTCATGATACAATTTTTTTAAAGAAAACAATGTGTAGATTTTTAGTTCAAATGTAAAAATGTAACATTCTAGTTTATATTAACAAGTACCTGGTTATGAATATAGGTGTATTTAAAAGGTTTCACAAAGAAACTGACATCAATTGTTCCACTTGCTTAAATTTCGATAAATTAAGCATTCATACTGAATCATATGAAACTTTTGGGACATGCCAAAGAATATGTTATTTATTTTAAAATGTAATATTTAAGCTAATTGCAACCTAAAATCTGAAAATATTCTTAAATACAGGTACTTATATGTCAACAGTGTTTTATAGTGCTATTAACTAGAGACTTGCCCCAGCACAAAATCCAAAGTCAGGTTAAAACACCAGGAAATCATCTTATCCTATATAATAAAGAGGTGATATGCAAATTGACCATCACTCTAACACACAAGATGGCTGCCCACATGTGGTCAAAGATGGCTGCCCCCAGATGGACACAAGATGGCAGCCAAAAGATGGCCAGCAAGGGAGGGCAATTGGGAGCAACCAACCCAGCACGGGAGGGCAGTTAGGGCTGATCACACTGGCAGGCAGAAGCAGTTAGGGGCAATCAGGTAGGCAGGCAGGTGAAAAGTTGGGAGCCAGCAGTCCTGGATAGTGAGAAGGCAGTCGGATATCACTTGAGGGGTCCCAGATTGGAGAGGGTGAAGGCTGAGCTGAGGGACACCCTCTTTCCCGGGCCTCCCTCCCATGCATGAATTTTGTACACTGGGCCTCTAGCGTTTTATAGTTATTTGTAGTTCAGAGGATAATTTTATATTCAGCAATGTTATTTTTTATACTTCATTTTAAAACTTGCTTTATAACCTTCCAAGCACATCTTTTTTTTTTTTTTTTTTTTTTTTTTTTAGTTCTTTCATTGTCCACAATTATCCAGCCAAAATTTAGATGTTTAAAGCTACTGTTCTTTTAAAACTTCAGTATTAAAGCAAACAAAATACCCTTAATTGTTCTATTTCTTTGGTTATAAAATTACTCTTAAATACATATTCAGCATAAACAGCCAGGAAAAAGTCTTTCAGTTGATATCAATACAGTGCTTTCTCACATAGTCTAAAAACTGGATTTGGAAAGAACTGAAATTTCACATGAACTGAAGTTTTATATTTAAGCATGGCCAGAACAATTCCCCGTACCAGGAGGCCTTCTACCACCTGGAAGCAGGGCCTTTAAAAACAGCTCTCAAAAAAATAAATATATTTTACTTTTCATCATTCCTTTGGCCAAATAACAAATTCCAAAGTGGTGTTTAATCATCTGGCTCATATGTTTATGAAAAGTATAAAGTACATTTAGGTAACTGCATTTTTAAAACAAATTTCATATCCAAGTAGATGCTTCTAAGTCTAAATGCTAGTAGGAAGGGCAATTAAAAGAAGTCATGTTGGAAGAGAAAGATGAAAATAAGGTCAGAGACAGCCTCTGCTCTTATTACATAACTGAAGTCTTCAATTAAATGTAAAGAGCTTTTGTGGGGGAGGGTGGAATGGAGTTCTGGTTTACTTAGCATTTATTGTTCATTCATTACCTTATTTCTAATCGAGCATTCTCTTCATTTCCCAAACAATAATTTGATATCAGAAGGGGCTGGAGCCCAAGCGGCACTGTGGCACAGAGCAGTGATTGTTCCACTCGGAGAGAGAGAGCACCCGTGAAGCTATTCATGGAGGGCAGACAGTAAATCACTGTTCGCACACTCCAGCTCACTGGGAGAGTGGTCCTGGGAGATGCTCCTGATTGTTCCCAGTGGATTCAAATTGCACTTTTATCTCCTTCCACTGGCCTTTTGGAGTTATATTACATTCTTACTGCAGCTTATTTTCCAGAATCCTGTTTTGTAATTGTGGTATTTACTCATCACTTGCATCCTCGTTTCCTTATTCAATAAGCAAATTAGACACCATGCATGGGAAGTCCTATGTTGGGGGAAAGCCTAGGTTTTGTTCATCTTTCAAACTGGAATCTCAAAATAACGGTCAGGGCATTCTTTCTTCCTTTTTATAAATGGCCCTATCCCATCCAAAGATCTTTTTTTTTTTTCCTACTTGAAAAATCACTTTTCCTTGAAAAAGAACTCACTGCTTTCACTAACTCACCCCCTCTTTTATCTACCAAGCTCTTTCTCTCTGCTAGGTATTGCAAGTACAAGAGAAAGAAAAGAGATGTATTCCTGGGACTCAAGGAGATTCAGATCTAATAAGAAAGAGAAGCTTTCTACAAATAGGAGCACGGCAAATTAACTTGAGCTAATTTGGACTAATTTGGCAGGGTACTTTGAGAACACATATGGAGGGGGTCTGATATATCCTGGAATACAAGGAAGTTTTTCTTGAGGAGTGGACATTTAGGCTGAAATTTAAAGGATGAGTAGGCATTAGCCAGGGAGGAAGGTGATAGTGTCCCAGGCAGAAGCATGAGGGCCAGCCTGTAGTTAGAAAGCAGTGTGGGAAATAATAGATCAACTGAAGGACTGGTATACATGCATATAAGTACAACCAATGGACATAAAACTCTGGGGAGGGAGGGTATGTATGGGAGGGAGGGGGGCAAAAAAAATCAATAAAATATATTAAAAAAAGAAAGCAGTGTGGAACTTCCAAACGTTGCAGAGGCTTGAAGGGTTGGGAAGGCAAGCAGGTGGGTGATGTGATCAGATACACATCTTGCAAAGGTCACTTTAGCTACAGTTTGGAGAATGAATTGGAGGGCAAGAGTAAAGAGAGCATTATTTATGTAAGTTAGAGGGGAAAACCACCAAACACATTGGCTCTGTTGGTTCTAAGTACAGATGGTGCATGTAAAAGTCTAGAAAATGAATTACCAGGATGCACAGAAAACTCATGATGGTGTTACCTGTGAAGTGGTGGATGGAAATGGGAAAGATGGTGTTGATTTATAAGAAAGTTAAGCTTTATACATCACATTTTACTGCTTGAAATAAAGGCCGGAAACAAATATGACAAAATATTAACAGTTGCTAATTCTGGGGGGAGGGTGAAAATTGAGTTGTTATGTTGTTCTTTGGAAATGTCTCAATCTTTCCATTTCCTCAAAAGAAAAGTTAAAAATGGAGAGAGGTAGGAGGCAAACCAGGAGAGTGATGTGTTGTAGAAGTCAAAAGCCAAGAGTATTAAACAGAGGAAGGAACGGTCCTGTTCATCACTGCCTCGAATGCAAACAAAATAAGAACTTGAAAACATCCACTAGATTTACTGTCCTGGAAGTCATTGAAGATGTTAACAAAAGACTTGTTAATGGAGCAGGGAACAGAAGCCCGACAGGAAGGAGGAAATGGGAGAGGAGGAAGCGGCAATGGTGATTGTCAACAACCTGTGAGGCTATTTGGTGGAGAAGGGAGGAGCAAAGGGGTAGCTTGAAAGCAACAGAAGATCCAAGAAGGGCTGTTTCTAAGACATGAGAGACTGAAGCTTGTTTACATGGGGGTGGGAAGGTATGAGGGGTGGAGTGGAGGGGAGGGGTTAAGGGGAGTGAGGAGACAATAGGACAGAATTTCTGAGAATGTGTAAATGAGAACAGGTGGAGGGACTGGCCTCAGATGGGAGGAGGGACACTGCCTCCACTCGCAGAGACAGGTAGGAAATGAGTAAAGAAGCCAAGTTCCCCTCTGATCCACTGATGCGTATGTGTGTTTTTTTTTTGTGTTTTTTTTTCCAGGGAAGTAGGGGGCACAGAGGGTGAAACATCTGGTTAAAGGGGAGAAAGTTGAGGCTGAGAGAAAGGAAAAATGATGAAGCAGTGCTGAGGGTCCAACTGAGGTCAATAACTTGAGTGTAGCCCCACTGGATATGTGCTTTGCATTGGTTTCCAGTGGTGTCAGCTGCCCATTGCAAGAGCAGAGAAGGCTGATGTTTATATGATTCAGGACCAGTTTAGTCAGATGGGTGTGAGCAAAAGATAGAGGAGCTGGGGAGTTGAAAGCATTCACTGGAGAGAGATTGTTGTTATGAAACTGTGCTAGGTAGAGAGGGGAATGAAAGAAGGAGGGGGTGGAAGGGTGGAGAGAGTGGCAGGACCCAGGGCTTGGAGGTCTTCCTGAGATCAGCATGAGTGCAGAGGGTTGCCTGAGGAGCAAGCTGGGATGAGAGGAAGTGGTGATTGGAGAAGATGATGAAAGCCTTATTGGTTTAGATGCAGCCCTTTCCGATAATAAGGCTCAGCAGCAAGCCCTGGTGTGGGGGTGGCAGTGGGGGCAGGGGTGGAGCAGAGGCGAGTGAGGGAAAGGTCAGTGTAGATGAGGCAGAAGAGAAACTGAGAAGCAAAGGGTGGGTACTGTGGTGGACATTAACACTTCCATGAATGGTGTGGTAAAAGGACTGTAAGCCTGGTCCTAAGTCTTTGAAAAGTGGGATAAAAATGAGGTCTGTGGATATGTGTATTTGTAGGGCAGAGTCTACAGAGGTTTAGATGTTTTTGAGAGGAGGAATGGCCTGAGAAGCAGGAACACCAACCTCACTTCCCAACACTGGGGTTAATGGGCAAGAGGGACAATAAAGAGCCCCACAGAATGAGGCTGGGAAAGATCATTGTGACAGTGGTTCTCATCCCCACTCCACACAGAGATTCCTCTGGGGGCTTAATAAATACCCAGGCCCAGGTCCCGCCCCTGACCGGCAATCAGAATCTCTGGACCGTGTGGCTATGTGCCACTTACTGCTCTTTAGTAATTCTAACGTGCAGATAGATTTTTAATAACCACTGATTTAAGACAAGGAGGTAAAGGGGACTTTGAAGAAGGAATTGTAGATACAGAGAGGTTTCCTGATTAGGATTGATCATGGCCTGATGTGCAAGCCAAACTCCCAGAGTGTCCGCCAGGAACTCACGCTCACCACGAGTTGAGTGGTAAGCACCAACAGAACCTTCTTCTCCAAGTCCACTACTCCCTTTTGTCTTAAAGCAGAGATCCTGATCAGATGGCTGGAGGTGAGCCTTAAGAGGACCCTGTGTGATTTTACCTGTCTACATAATCTGCCTCCATACTTTCCAGGTGACGCGAGGGAAAGCAGGTGTGGTCAAACCAGCATTTATGACGAGGAGGGGCGGGTAGCTCTCAGCACTGACACAGAGCCAGCCACATCTTTCCTCTGTGCCTCCGTCTGACTCCTGTAAAGCTCGGTGGTAAGATTGATGTGGAGGGTGGCAAGCGTGACAAAGATGCTAGTTAACTTTTACAGCGCAGTGTGTGCCAGCCCCTAGACGTGAGGTTTGCATTCACCGTCTCTTTTAGTCCACACAATCCCTGGGAGTGAGCGATACCTGAATCCCCATTTACAGGTGAAGCGACCGAGGCTCCAGAGAGACAAGTGACTTGCCCAATGTCACCAACTAGTAAGTCACAGAACCACAGCTGGCCTCACTCTGCTTCATGCTCCTTTCACTGTAAAGCAGTCTACCTTTCCACCTAGTTCTAACTCTGATACTTTCACTCCCATTGGCTTTCTTTCCCCTGACAGAAAGGGTAGATTGCGGATTTCCAAAGCTTTGGAGGGGCAGTTGTTTCTCTGAAAAGTTAAGGCAGTCCTCTGAAGTCATCTGGGGTGCACAGAGGGGAGATGACATCATGGGGTTTCCTCAGCCTATTCCCCACAGGTGCTCCCCCGAGGGCTTCCAGGAGTGATACAGCAGCTGGTTTATTTGTTTTTGTTCCCCCCCCCCCCCCCCCAGCTCCTGGAGCCATCTCTTCCCTGGCAGGCAGACATGTAATCTCACCTGGTCAGGACGATGGGCACCTAATTGGGTGGTGAGACTTGGGGATCTAACAAGTGCCAGGAAGATTCTGGGTGGTATTTCTTATCCTTGTAAAGTTCACTCAAATTCTTTTCTTCTTGTATTCTATTACTTTAAATTAGGCAAATTTAATCGCTCACTTCTTGGCTCAGTAAATTAAAATGCAACTATTAATGAAAATGATTTCCCTTTAAAAATATATCCTGAAACTCGGTGTGGGGCATTTCCAATATACCCACGAAGCAAACAAGACAGCTTAATTGTTTGTTTTTCCAAGGGAAGAATCTAAACTCGGAATTAATTTGGTTCAGCCTGTGAAACAATTCGGTTGCTCTGCCTAATTCTGCCAATGAAAGAACTTTTCCCAGATACAATTAGCATGTAAATCAGCGGCAGAGCGAGCCAGGGGCCCTGGCGGCGACCGGGGCGGGACGGAGGTGCCTTAAGGAGAACCGCGAGGATCCTCCGCCTCGGGCCCGCGCCAGGGGCGCAAGGAGGAGCTCAGGAATCCAACTCGACCCGGCCCTGCCGTCGCCAGCCAAAAGCTGCGCGTTCAGTGGTGCAGCCGAGGATGGAGCCGTACTGGCCACCAACGCCCCGCTCCCGAGCCCAACCGGGAGCCAGCCTACACCCAGGGTGCGGAGCGCACAGCCAAGCCCGCCGCTTCCACCCCACCGCACCCCACCCCACCCCACCGCACCCCACCCCACCCCACCGCACCCCACCCCACCGCAGCCCCAGCCCCCCTCAGAGCCAGCCCCCCTCAGAGCCAGCCCCCCATCCCCGGGGCTGCGCGCGCACCTAGCATCGCCCTCCTCCACCCCCTCCACCACCCGGACTCGGTAGCAGCTTTGGCTGGGAAAGGTGGGGATAGCGGCCCCTGCTGGCAGCTCGGGAGAACAGCAGAGAGATTGACTTTCCCCCTTTACCATTTCCCCACCTTTTCCAGGTGGGTTGTGGAAATAACAACAACAACAACATATACATGGATAGTGTTGTCGCGTGTGCATTTATTCTCCGTGAGTTCTCGCGAACAGATGTCTGTACATAACTTGGGTTCCCAGCCGATTAGTAATCCTAGTCCCAACTAGGGCACAGGTATAATAGTTTTCTGATCATTTACTTGCGGGCACTCGGCCCAAGGATGATCGCGGCTCCAATCTTCCTCCCAGCGCTTTTCTCGTCCGATCCCTGGCTAGTAAGTATTGCTTCCAGAACTGCGTGGCCGCCCAGTGGCCCGTGCCATCGGCGCAGCCCCCTGGGGAAAACAGCGGCCAAAGCGCGCAATTGTTAGCACCGCGCGCGGGCGCGGCAGGGAGCGCGCAGTGGCCGGGTTTGGGGGATGGGTCTGGCCCGACCAGTTTGCACAAGTCTATGAAAGCAAGGCTTTTTTTGGCGAATGAAAGTTCAAGAGGTGGGGGAAGGCTGTGTCTACCGTTCTTCGTGAAATCACCTAACAATAGCGCCTTGGAAGAAGTTGAGATTTACTTCTTCCATGAAGCCACTGGGCTCTCATCGGAATTGTTTGCGTCTTACTTCTTCAGTTTGTTTATTTCTAAGAACAGTCTGCACACGTCTACATTTTAAAACCATTTATTAACACCATTCTTTGTACTATGGTTTATTTGCTTACTTAACATGCCTTCTTCACGTGTTATATTCGCGTTCACTCGTACCTGTGTTCCCGTCTTTTAAGTGTATCATTAACCCACCGGCTTCTGTCCAATTCATTCGGGTGCGGAGAGCGTCCATCACTCCTGGAATCTACCCCTGGATGCAGTCATCAGAATTAGAAGGGCTCCCCGTTCCCTTTAAAACTTTTCCACTTAAGAAAATCGATGGGCAAATCCTTTCTTGCAACTCGCTCCTGCGCTACATCTATTTTTATTTATTTTTTCTCCGTTGGCAGGACTCATCAATACTGCCCTGGATTTTTTTTATTTTTATTTTTTATTTTCCCCCATGCTAGAGCAGATGCGAGGGTGGAGGAGGCCAGGGCTGGGCTCCGCCGGAGTCGCCCCCTCCCCGGGACCTCTGCCCGGAGCGCATCAGGGGGTCAGGGATCGCGATGGAAGGAAGCTTTCCTGGTAGGTCGGACCCAATCTCCACCTGCCGCCTCGCCGCGTAGGCTCCCTCTCCTTGGCTCGCTCGCTCGCATTCACACACAAACACCACCATCGCTCTCCTTCGGGTCGGCGGAGCAGCCAGCCAAAGGAGGCGGGGCTGCAGGAGGAGAGTCCGCGGTGCGCGTAATCCAGTCCGGGACTTGGCTCCGCCCGGGAGCGGCGGCCTCTCGGTGACAGAGGAGTAGTGAGCGGCCGCGGGTGAGGCTGCAGCCAACTCCGCTCCCCTCGCACTCGGCTGCCCGGGCGCTCGGGACGCAGCAGCAGCGGCGCTTCTCCCTGGGCTGCCCGCCCGCCCGCGATGTCCGCTTAGGAGCGGCGGCGGCCCGCATCGCCACGCCCGCAGCACACCGCCGCGCCCCCGGCCGCAGAGCGGGGCTAGAGGGTGCACCCCTGCCCCAGCCCCCACCCGCCCCCCGCCCTGAAATGACTTGTTAATCGGCGGCGCAGACACCACCGAAGGGACTCGCTGGAGTGGAATCCAAGTGGAATTTGGATCTGAAGAAGAGTTTTCTTGGACATTGACTCCTTCCTTATTGTTTTTTGTTTTCTTTCTTTCTTTTTTCTGCTGCTCCCCTTCTCCGCCTCGCCTTGGAGATGAGCACAGAGCTTTTGCATCCCAGAAAGTAGTCGCCGCGACTGGCGTCCCCAAAGAGACCAACCAGCACACATGTAGGAATGACAAAGGCTTGCGAAGGAGAGAGCGCAGCCCGCGGCCCGGAGATCCTCTGGATAATGGATTACTAAATGGGATCCACGCCGAACCAGCCCGCTCCGAGCCCCGGCCGCCGACCCGTCGATGCACCGAAAAGGTACGGCCCGGGCGCCCCGGTGCGCTCCCCCTCCCTGGCGGGCGGCTCGCCTCCAGCCTGCGGTCTCGGGGCCGCGGCCAGGACGCGCCGGCTGCTTTGTGGTGCCGGCGTTTTATTTTGTCTCGTTGTCTCTGTCTCCTGAGCATTGCCCGGCCCTGGGGAAGCAGCCGAGAGCCCCGCCGGCCGCTCCTCTCCGCCCTGAGCCCCAGAGACCGCCGGGCTCCGGGTTTCGGGCTTCCCCACCCGCACCGCGCACCGCGCACAACGCCCAGTGCCGCCCGGGACCAAGACCGCGCGGCTGGCCGTCTGGCCCCGGGGATGGCGTGTGTGCAGGACCGGGCTCGTCCTCACTTTGGGGCCAGGAGGGAGCAGAGCTGCCCCAGGAGGGTGGGATTCTCGGAAGCGCCCTGTCCTGGTGCCAAAGCCAGGAAAGGGGCTCTGCCCTCGGGGGCTGGAAAAGGGTGGGTGGCAGAGCGCTGTCTACGTCCATCCCCAGGTTTGGGTGTTGGGGTGGGAGAACGGGTTCCGCGGAGACGGTGGGAAGGAGGAGAGGATCTTTTGTTGTCCGCGCGGGTCTGGGCTGGGCTCCGTGCGGAGTGTGTAAACTTGTAATGGCCATGGCACCCGCTCGCCCGCGCGCCCTGCCACTTGGCGATATCCCGGCTCCCGCGGCCGCTGGCACCAGAGGTTCCGGGCTTTGTTTGCTCGAACGAGTGCCCAGGAATGGTCTCCTCCCGTTGGGGTGTGCGGCGCTCCCGCCCCTGGCCCCATCCCTCGCCGCTGCAGCTCCTGGGCAGCGAGGACCGCATCTGTCCCTCTCCAGACGGAGCCTGCCACTCCGGGGAGGGTGCCCGCCGCGCCCTCCGCCAGGATCTCTGGAAAGGAGGGTCCCCGGGAGGTGGAAGGGTGGGAAGATCTGGCAACAGATGATGGCCAGAGCTGCTACCCAAACAAGGGCTCTGCCCCTGCCCCAGGTTCCGGGTCTCCGAACTCCGAGCTCACGTTCTGGAGCTCTGCCACTCAGGCAGCGGCGCTGGGAGCAGCCCAACTGTGCCCACCCGCCCTGCCTGGCCTCGCCGGGGTGGGAAGTGCCAGTTCTCCAGACTCCCTCATGTCTTCTCAGCTCTGCTGCGGTGCCCAGGGCAAAGCGGGAGCCTGACGTCCGCTCCCTCTTCCCTGGGCACAGGAGCGGCCCTGGGGGGAGCCAGGGAGCCTGTGGGTGTCGGGAAAGGAAACGGGACTCAGCCGCCTTTCCCGCTCCCTCTCCACCCCCCTCGCCCAGCGACTCCTCCTTCTTTTCCAGCACCGGTCCCTCCAGCAGGCGCTTCTGGAAAGTTTCTCTGGAAGCCACTGGCGGTGGGCATGGCAGGACTGGGGCTCAGCTTGTGCAGCCTGCGAGAAGCTGACCCCCAAGGGAAGCCAGGAGACGGCCCAGGGTGCCACTGGGAGCTGGGTGCGGACTTCTTCGGACAGTGGCGCCCCCACGCCTCACTCTCCCACCCTCCACCCTCCACCCTTCACCCTCCACCAGCGGCCCCTTAGGGTCGCAGCGCTGCACTTGCTGTGCCAGTCTCAAGCAAGGGGAGGAGGGCAAGTTCAGGGTCAGGACTGGGGATGCTGATGCGGCCACTCTGACCATCGGCTGGCGCGGGGGTGCGTGTGGGCATTCGCCGGGGCTGGCTGTCTTGCAGGTACCAGTTCCAAGAGCAGCATCTCAGCCCCCTGCGCGCTCGCGGCTTTCCATTCCCGGGAGTCTAGGGAGGAACAGAGCAGGTAGCCCGGTGTGCATGGAGCCAGAGGGGAACCTCTGACTTCACCGCCAAAGCAAGCACTCTAAGGATGGGGATGGTCGCCGGCCTGTGTTGCAGTGGGTAGCCCGTCTAGCCCTTCGCTGGCTGTGTCTGTCTGTCCTTGGGAGAAAGGTGGTTGCGTTGGGGAGGGCCAGGGTGGGAACGCGCTCTGCTTATGCTGGATGGAAATCAAACTGCTACCGAATGTGATCCATGAAAGGTTTAAACACACAGACGCGCGCGACACACGTTCTCTCACTTGTTCATACAACTTTTTTTTTTCTTCCCTCAACTCGGAAAAGATCTTTAACCCAGTTGCAGTGTCCTGCCAGTAGGACTCAGGAAAGCTACGAATGCCCCCCAGCGCTGGTTTTTAAAGCCTTTTCCCAGTGGAAAGGTCGAGCGCCTTTGCTTGCCTTTCTCTAATCCTGTTAATTGTCAGCTTTCCTCCCAACACATATCTTATTTTTGGTGTTAAGTCCACCGGTTGCCACTGATAGCAGCGGGGAGACTTGGTTTGGGATACATGACTCCTCTATTTAGTTGTGTGTGGGTTTTTTTTATTATTATTATTATTATTATTTCCCAAAAGTAAAGATGCCTGTGCTCAATTCTGAATGAAAATATCCTACTTTTTTACACCTTATCCAATTGGCTAGCAGGGTGGTAAAAAAAAAATTGTATGTGTTTTTCAGACCCTGTTTAGTCTGCATGGAGCAGTTTTATGATTTACAGTAAGCTTTGATTAAACCACTCCAGGCACCAACGTTAATTATTAACCTAACCTTAAATACAGTGGCAGAATCATGTCTCCACCTATTAACCTAAACTATCTGTTAAAAAAATAATTGCACTGACTATTGGAATTTGGTTTACCTATGCTGGTTTATATGGTAACTTTTATTCAAATCCTGAGTAACCTCCACTCTCAATTAATATTCTGGTTTTAGGACATTCTTGAATGAGGCACCTTGCAAACAAACCTGAAAGCAAAAAGGAATGAAATCAGATATAAAACTTCATTTTTGCATTAATGCCCCTTTTCAGCTTGATATAAAGAAGCACCCTGGTTCATTTTTCTTATTTCTGACAATCTTCCCAAAGTGTTATGTTTTGCTGTTACCACCAGGTAGAGATGGACCAACAACGTTCTCTATCAATAATGCATGGAATCCACCTGTGTACATGTTCAGCAGATACCTAAAATCTAAGCAGCCACCTGCAGAATATACTTATTGGCGAGAACATCTAAGTTTAAAGAGGTTAAAAATTCATAAGAATCAGTGTATAAACTTAACTAAATGTCTAATGAATAAATGAATCAATTCAGTAGTCACACATGGTTCACATTTCTCCACTTACAGTGGACTTGTTTTTTCTAGTGGAAAAAAAATATCCATGCCTTCAAGTATATGGTTATTCATTAAGTAGCAATAAGCACAACTCTTTATTTACACTCACAGAGATACAAACTTGCACCCGTCAAGTTCTTTCAAAGACTAGTGAATGCTTTTCTCATTAAAAAAAATATAACATTCGCATTCTGAGTAGGCAGATAACATTGCCAAGTGTGTTGAATGAGAAGAATAACAATAACAAGAATCAGGGAGACTTATCTTCATGCAATAAAAATAAGACACCCAAATTAAGAACTTTATGAAATTCAAAATAAACAAGCATGCTTTAAAAGTAAATAAGTAATTGCACTCCCATATAGAATGGAAGGAAAATACTGTTTGAACAACGAAGTAAGTCGATACTTTACTATGTGTGCATAGTGGGTTCAGCTCTTTTCCAAGCAGAACAAAAGAATGATTATGGGGGAAAACTTTTTTTTTTTTTTTTTTTTTACAATTACTGGGCCAAGAGCTACGTAATATATTCTCCCATCTTTTTTGTTTATTTGTTTGCAGAAAGCAATCACAGGACAAGCCAAAGTAATTGCAAATACTTTAATTAGCCTGGGAAATCCTGTAGCTAGCACTGCGCTCCCCCATGCCCCATGTTAGATTTGGACAATTGTCCAACTCCCAGAGGGGTGTTCCCTGGGTGTTCTCACTTCCAGGGGGCGGTGCAGCCTGGAGGCAGCCTGCTGTGCCCCCCTCCTCCCAACATCCATCCATCTCTCTGTGCCTTTGGAGCCAAGGTGTCCCTGATATTTCTATTCCAGGGTGAAGGCTTTTCTCATCTGCTTTAAATGTGCTGCAAGAGCAACTGAGCTATTCTCTGCTGGCAACCACAGGGTTGCCTCCTGGGGATATGGTAAGGTAGGGGAGGGAGGGAGGCATTTAATCCCTTTGAAATGGGCAAATAAGATACCATACCACACAAACCTCAAGGGGAGAAGGGAGCTCGGGATACTTTTCAGCATGGGACTATTCCAGTACAGGATATACTAGAACACTAGAGTATCTTGCTTTGTGAAGCAGATGACTTACTGTGAAACTTTTTTGTTAGAATTATTCTAATTACACTAATGGAGAGTGTCACATAAAACAATCAAAACTGATATTTCCCAAATAAACTGTATCTCTCAAGAAGTCAGCATTCAAAACACCTAATTGTGGATCTTTCTCCCCCAAATATGCTTTTCTTAAAATCTTCTCTGTCTCAGCAAATGGCATGCTCCATCCTTTGAGTTGCTCAGGCCTAATATCTGTGACTCTTTCTCTGTCCACACCCACTCCAGCTGCAGTGCTGTTGGCATTCGGACTTCCGCCAGGCCTTCCACTGCTGGGGCCCACACACAGGCTAAGTGCCCTGAGCGCCCCCGCTGGGTTATTGTGCTGCCTCCCAGCCAGTCTTCCTGTTTTGCTCTGGGCCCCCTGCAGTCTTTTCTCCATGCCATCCCCAAAGCGGAAAAGCTAAGCTAGATCAGCTCACTTCTGCTCAGCTTTCCCACTTCATTCCCCTGAAAGCCAAAGTCCTTCCTGTGGTCTTTGTGGCCCCGTGTGATCTGCACTTGGGCCCCCACCTCGCTGACTTCCACTCCTTGGGGTTACTTCAATGGGCCATTGTGCTCTCCGTGGTCCTTTGCAAGCTCTTTGCACTTGCTCTGTTATGGCTTGGGCAGGGTCTTGCCCCTGGATGGCATCATGATGGTTCCTCACATTCCTTAGATCTCTGCTCAAATGTCACTTTCTCAGCGAAACCTTTTCTGATCATCTTATTTACTTCACCTTTTCCCCCTCAACACTTCCAACTGCCCTG